AAAAAAAAAAAAAAAAAAAAAAAAAAAAAAAAATCTGCATACATTACAACACAAAGACAATACAACACGTGACTGCAGAAAACCAATCTGCAATAGTTTCTCACAACCAACAACACTTGCTCTTATAGACCTGATTTAGGAATCGACACTTAGCAGTTACAAACAGAAACTATGATGTCTTACCTATTACAGACCTTAAACAAATATAACTACAACCTGATGTAACTGTTAGTGCAGAAACTTCAACTTCAACTTGAATTTTTGATCTTCAACTTCATTTTTTGAGCCACAATCCAACAGTGTCTACATGGTCAGTTTCTTTCCATTGTGGCTTTCCCATCTGATGGGTCTGGTTCTTTTTACATGACAGGATACATCAAAACTGAAGTGGGTTGATCTCAGTCACTCGGGTGGTTTCTGCAACTTGTCAGGGTTATTAGGAGCTTCGAATCTTCAAAGGTTGGATCTTGAAGGCTGCACAAGTTTGGGAAACTTACCCAAGGAGATGCAGACCATGAAAAGTCTCGTTTTCCTGAACCTGAGAGGATGTACCAGCCTCCAGGTAGTTGAAGAAATGAATATGGAGTCTCTGAAAACTCTCATCCTCAGCGACTGCTCCAACCTCGAGGAATTTCGGGTGATTTCAGAAAGTCTAGAAACTCTATACTTAGATGGCACTGCGATAAAACAACTCCCTCCATCCATGGAGAAGCTCCAGAAACTTGTCTTGTTGAATTTGAGGTGCTGCAAAATGCTGAAGGATCTTCCTGATAGTCTGGGGAGTCTGAAATGTCTTCACGAGCTAATTCTTTCTGGTTGCTCGAAGCTTGAGAGTTTTCCAGAGGTCTTGGAGAACATGAAATGCTTGGAGATTTTACTTTGTGATGGGACAGCGATAAAAGAGATGCCTAAATTGCGTCCAACCAAAAAGATCAATACCTCTTCCCCAAACATATTCCCTCCCCAAAGTAGAAACAATATGATCCCTCCGAATATATTGCCTCCCGGTATCAGAAATACGATGGTCCCTCCCATGGTTTTACCTCCTGGTATCAGAAATACGATGGTCCCTCCCATGGTTTTGCCTCCCGGTATAAGAAATAATACGATCAGAAATAGTGGAAGAGATACCAGAGGTATCTCTGCGGGGCCACGAGTTGTTAACCGGTTTTGTCTGCTGAGACATCTATGCTTAAGCAAGAATGATATGATCAGAAGCTTGCAGGTTGACATCAGTGAACTTTACCATCTGAAATGGCTTGAGTTGAAGTATTGCAAGAACCTCACATCCCTTCCGATGCTTCCACCAAATCTTCAGCGCTTAGATGCACATGGATGCGACAAGTTGAAAACAGTGGCAAATCCTCTGTCCCTTCTTCTGCAAACAGAACAGAGTAATTCCGCATTCATATTTACCGACTGCAACAATCTGGAACAAGACACAAAAGATAAGATCACATCCTATGCTCAGAAGAGAAGCCATTTAATGTCAGATGCTGTCATTCGCTACGATAGGGTCTCTCTCTTCCTCTCCCCCCCTCGAAGTCCTTCTCCTTTACTGAAAATCTCCAAAGTCTGTGACTTTCCATCTTTGCATTACTTTGCAGGGTTCTGTTTCCAAGGCCCATTTCCGCATTTCCTTTCCTGGATGTGAAGTACCTTCGTGGTTCGTTCACCGAGAGGTTGGATCAGAGATAACACCGACATTACCCTCACATTGGTGCGACGAAAGGCTTTCCGGGATAGCTCTATGTGCTGTCATCTCTTTCCAGGACTACCGAAATCAATATGACAGCATCCTAGTAAAATGCACGTGTAAGTTCAGAACCGAAGACCGGTCTTGGATCTCCTTCAGTTTCACTGTCGGAGAATGGACAAAACCAGGAAAGATCGAGCAGGATCACGTCTTCATAGGCTACACAAGTTGCTCACATATCACGAAACGTCTCCAGGAGCAGTCGAGTAAATGCATCCCTGCCGAGGCTGTTCTTGAATTTGAAGTGACAGATGGGACGATGGAAGCAGAACAATGGAAGGTGGTGAAGTGCGGATTCAGCTTCATGAAGGCAGAACCAGGCAAAGTCCCAAGTGAACCAAACTATTACCAAACTCCAAAGAGTGGTCTGTCTGAAAAAGCATGGCATGCTCTTGGTGTCTTCCTTCTGGGTTTATTTGTCGTTGCTCCCCAACACTTGTTATCCACACCTATGATTGTTAGGGTAATTGTAGCTTTGGTGCTGTATTCTTGTTTAGTCGATCAGTAACATCAAAGAGGTTTATTTGAGAGAAACTGCAAAAAACAGAGAACGTATTTGCTGATAAAATCACATTTCAGGGATTTCTTCTCTGTTTCCTGAGAACCAATCAACGGTCTCGCATATAACCCTCTTGGATCTTGTCCAGTTCCTGGGAAGATTATATGAGAATCCAAGACACGACCAACCAGACACAACAGCCGGAAATATCTATGTATCGCCACCTTCACCGACTAGAAGGGACAAGTGCAAGGAAAGAAAATAGTGTTCAGAAGCAAGAGACCACCAAAAAATCTCGAGAAACCGCGTTTCCAGGATATGAGAAAGAGTAAGAATGAGGATAGGATCTCAAGAAGAAGAGAGGAATAATAAAGCATGGTTGATAAAGACAAGATTCAGAATCAAGTGGAAGAAGAGCTTTTCTTTGCAAATTCAAAAGGTAAGAATGAGGATAGAATCTCAGGAAGAAGATGAACCTCTCTCTCTCTCTCTCGGGTTAAGGGTGGAACAGAGTTTGTATATGTCAAAATCCAGATCATCAACCCAAATAAACCCATTTTATGGGATCACTTCAAGCTCATGAAGAAATGGCAGTACAGCAAAAGGAGTGTAATTGTTGGTGACAACTAATATACAGAGAACAAGATGAATGTGGCCAAAAAATAGAACAGAGGAATCAAAGAACAAAAAATATGAATCGAAGGGCGGTGTTTCTATGAACATGTACCTCTACCTATGGATAATCCTTGTTCGATTTGAGCATAAGCAAGAGCAGCTTGATGCTCTCTTGACGATGCGTTTCTCGCGATTGATCATCAGTCTGATGAGTGGTAGCTTCTGGATAACTTGCCTCCAGATTTCATCCACCGCTCCACTTGGACGCTTATAGTCAAAATATCTCCTCACCTAAAACCGCAAAAGTTAACAACACTTGGAAAAAGGAATTTACCAGCTTCTTTAAATTTCGACCCTCACCTCTTTCATCTCCTTTTGGTATTGCAGAATCTTGTCTTGTTTCACTTTTCTCAGCTTCTTAACCAGAAAACCCGGCTTCAGAGCTGTGTTGCTCCCGATGAAGATGGAAAACTTTCTGTAGTCTATGACATCCTCAAAGGGTAGCTCAATCTCGTCGCTTATGATCACGGGGACGCACAAGCTCATTATGGAATCGAATAGTCTGCAAGCAGATGGAGTATCACCGGCTGGATGCAGACAGAACTTAGAAGTGTGCATCCCTGTCTTAGCAGCTCGTCTGTTCTCTCTTGACTGTGTTCCATGTTTAACTATAACACCCTCTTCATTCTCGAGCACCTTGAAAAGCAAATCTCGGACTTTGCCTCCCTACAGACATAACATAACATCAGGAGAGAAGACTCTGTCTCTGCAAACAAGTTGTCCAGTTCTATCCAATCTGGAAATGATGGTGGGGTCCCAAATTCAGATTATCTAACGTTTAACTATTTCATAGATAACTCAAAATGAAGCCAGAAGAACACCCATCAAAGATTATAAACGATAAAGAGACATCTATCAAGAAGCAGATATAAAAAAGAGGATTTGGAAGACATTTGTCTTACATCTTTGCGATATCGGTTTCCCATGAAGAACAACAAGGTGTTCCTGTTCTTCACCCCGAGCTCACCTTCGTACGAATCAATCCGATGAGAATAGGGTATGATTACGTCCTTCACAAGCGAACCCTGGTAGGGTCTTAACCGGCCAAAATCCGACACAAGCAGAACCGCATTCTTGACCCGGTTCACGACCCAGTTCAGAGCATTGGGGTCGCCGGCGACAATCACATGATCCCTCCCGCTGTTTCTCCGCCACCATTCTTGACCCTCCAACCAATCCATCAAGCTCTCCTGCATCTCCTTGTCGCTGTAACCCGACCCGTTTACCGCGGTTCGACCGGAGTTCACGATCAGGCTCAGAGAAGAGAAAGCCGGGACGTAGAACAGATCCGCCTCTGCTGGGTCCGAGACCCCGACGACCGGCGACCCGACCCGTTTGTTTTCGGGTCGGTTCAAGTCCGAGAAGAGGAACCACTCGTGCATGTGTTGGTGACCCGGGTACTTCAGCGAGGTGATGTCTCCGTCTCCGGCGGGTCCGCCGCCGCGAGCTATGGCGTGCTGCTCGATCACTCCGTATGTGAACTTCGTGGGCAAGTCGTACATGTACACCTTCACTCTGTTCGATCTTCCCGTAAATTCCACGAGACTACGCCGAACCAGACCCCAATCCGAGGCATCAGAGTGAAAACCGGGGAAGAGGAAGGTGTTAACAAAGGCGAAAACGACGAACACGGAGACAGTAACCAATGCGAAATTCTTCGAGACGAAAAATTTCCGTGGGATGGATGAGAAGAGAGGCGGATTATGCGATTTCAACGCCTCCGCCGAACTGGGTCTCCTGAATTTGGGTTTTAGTCTTTCACACATTCTGCAAAAATCCCAACAAAACTCACTCTGTCAAGCTCGAAAGAACAACGCTCATACCCAGAAGGAAAAAAAATATAGAAAACGAAGACGACGACGAAGGAAAACGGGATTCCCGTTTTGCCAGCTTTTCGACGAGCCTCAAAGCCTCGATCTTTTCGTTGTTTTCGCCCAAAGTTTCGATCTTTGAGAAACCCAAAAAACAAAGTTCGAGGTTTTATCGGTGAAAGTCAAATTTCATACTCACGAGACACGATTCCGGGAAAAAAAGAAGAAGCAATTGTGTGTCGCTGTCTCCTGATGCTCGCGAGACTCTTGGGAAATCGACGTCCGAACTCAAAATTTTGAACTGATTAATTAATTCTTAGAATCGGTCGTCGCTTTAGCCGTTCCGTTTTCTTGTGATGAGCCCATTCGTTAATGTAATTTTAATCCTATGATGATATCACCATTCCGATAATATTTCCTCCCCAATTTATTCTCAAACGCCCCATTGGTCCAGCAATCTATATAACAAATATTCGAAATAATTATCAAAAGATATTATGATAGAAAATCCTTTCCACCGATTTTACAGAGAATCGTGAAGAATTGGGAAACCTTCATTTGGTTTCTACATATGTTTTACCTGCACAACTTAGGACTACTTCACATAGTTTCAAATTATAATAAAGATAAATTTGAAGACAACTTATCAATTACCTAATTTACCCCAACAAAGTTTCTACTTTAAACTTTTTATAAAAGTTTATCGACTATATAATTTATGAAAAAAATCATTTTAAATTTGTTAAAAAATCTACCAACTATTAATTTTAAAAATATCAAATTATTTATTTTTTAAAAAATATTGGACTTGAAATTTGTTATAAAAATCTATTCATTTTGAAAAAAAAATAAATTATATAATAACATTACAATTGAAAACTAAATATTTATATAAACTTATTATATTGTGATATTTAAGTTTTTGTTGTGAAATTGAAAATTTATAATATATACATATGATAATTTGTATACAAATTTTATATCAAAAATAAAATATATTTTACTGATTGAATTTATATTTGTATATGTAAATGTGATCATATTTGTATGTTTGAAATTCTGAATTTGGTTTTTTATTTAAAAAAAAACAATTGTTTAACTTATTAAAAAAATATTCCATTATAAAACCAATCAACTATTAATTTTGAAAATAAAACATCAATTGTTTAACTTAAAGGAAAATAGTCTACCGTTATAAAAATCTATCAATTTCTAATTATTACAATAAAAATTAATATTTTATATAACTTCATTATAATATTTAGAACTGTATAATTTATATATGTATCATTCTTTATATAATAAATTTGTATATAAATTATATATTTAAAATTAAACATATTTTATTGAATAATTCATAATTATATATGAAATATAATAATATTTGAGAGATTTCCCAACACCATTTGGTCGAGATTGTGAATTCGCGATGATCGATGGCTTCCTGAAATCAAACGAGAATTTCAATAAGCTGGGTTTGATCCTGTTTGCTAGTTTAGTTTTTTCATGGTTCCGACAAGAGATTCGGTCAGGACAAGCGTTTTCATCCGCCGCCAGCATTACCACTGTTGGCTCTCCAAGATTGGATGGACAGCAAAATTCAACATCTCCATGAAAGCTTCTCTTCATCCACAATATACTCTGTGTTTATGCTTGCCCGCCGCCCTCTACCATTACTCTTGACATTTGGACTGCCCGTTACTTAGATTCTGCATCATAATGCATCATTTCCATCCTACATTCTCTGACCAGTAAGAATCTAAGATCCGTTGCCTTGGTATGATCTCTTCCAACAAACTTATGCATCGTCGCTTAACGATGCTCTGTTACTCTTAATGATCTAGGATTCATTTTTAGTTCATCTACAATCCAGGAAAAAAGAGGGCAAAAGATCGGGTTTGGGTACTTACATGTCAGAAGAACACAAGTTCTCAGTGCTTGGAGTCTGCTTCTTCCTCACAAAACCTTGTATACTGATCAGAGTCCATCAAGTTGTTCAGTTCTCCTCGATCACTCATCTCGACTTTCACCATCCACCCTCTCTCGTACGGACTCCAGTTGACCTAAACGCAAATTTAACGTGTCAGAATTCACTGGTAAAAAGCTGGGTCGAAGGAGAAAATGCATTTCATGTTCTGTCTTCTTGATCCAAGATCAAGATGTAAAAATCAAGCCTACTTCACACTAACCATTCACTCAACTTTCAGGTAGAAATAAAAACAACTGTTAACAGATTTCGTAGAAACAGACAGGCTGGTTAAAGACTCACCAGACCAGGAGAGCTGGTGAGCTCTTCATGGACTTTGATCACTTTCCCTGAAACAGGAGAGTTGACATCACTCGTGGCCTTCATGCTTTCAACCGACGCGAAACTGCAACCTTGTTTAAGGACACGCCCCAGTTCGGGTAATTCCACGAATATAACATCGCCTACATGATCCTGGGCGTGATGGGTTATCCCAATTGTAGCTGCATTTCCATCAACCTTCACCCACTCGTGTGTGCCCGCATACTTCAAGTCTCTGAGATTCACTGGAACATTCAACAGAAAAAAGAACTTGGAAGCCTCAACACTTCACTCAGTTGCATTCAGACAGTGAAACTAGCCCAGATCGAGGCTCATTGTTTCAAACATGTTCAAACCCTAAGCACAATGCATATGTAAGAACCCAATAAACAATTTCCCAACTTGGACAAGCGATCACGCCCAATTCGTTCAATACTGAGAGAAAATCAAATCTTTATCATGATTGTTAGTATCAATTGCAGTAAACACAAATCATCAGCAGCTAAAATATCGAGACCCATCAAATTTTCAGAAGAAACGTCTCGGCAGGAGCAATCGCAGAAGAAATAGCTTCGATTCCAGATTCTCAAAGCGTTTGGACTAATCAGAGGAGAACCGAACAGGGAAACAAGTAAAAGACGATAATGGAGAAAGTAAACGACGGGATCGTACCAGAACCGAAGCTTCTTCGGCGGAGGACAGAGATTCGGAGACGGGAAGCTGTTCTTGATGCCCAGAACAGCGGTAACGCCATTTTATTAGAATCTGACCGATCTGCGAGAGAGAATTTGTCTGCTCCTTCGGTTCAAGGGAATTTCACAAAAAGAAAAGGGTGAACAAAGAACAGGGACAGAGCAACGTGAACGGCCGTTCAAGGAAGGGGATACGAGCCAGGTATTGTTTGACGTGTCAGCGTCCCATGATAAATTCTTTAAAGAATACTGTATTAAAATAAGCCATATGTTCATAATTTTCTGGGAAAAAAATGAATCATAAAGGTCCTGAATTTACCTGAAAATATAGGAAAAGATCCAAACTTTCAAAATTGCAAAGAAGATTTATTGTTTTCAATTTTTTCACAATTATATTTTTAATCATTTTCTAGTGGGTATAACACACATTTCAAACGTTATTATCTGCTGGTAGTTTCGATCCTAATAGCCTTCGCTTCAAGCTTTACTAGATTCTGTTTCTCTCCCTCCCCGTATGCAAGAAGAAGAACAAGAAGAAGTTCGATGGCGTCTCTGCTTGTCAGATCGAACAAATTGATAGCTAAACCTTGTGAACTCCCCAGTTCTCTCTTCTTCCTCAGACCAGTCTCTTGTTATCACGACGCCCACGAACGCGATGATTCCGCGGCAGTTTCTCCGTCATCATTATCATCACCAGCTCAATCTGTCGTCGGGTCGATCTGTTCATTGGTCTGTGATTCCTATCTGCATCAAACCCATTTCAGATTACCCTCTCACCGGCTCAACCTCAACCTGGACGCGGACTCTCTCACCCACGAGCAAGCGATCACCGTGGTTGCTTCTCTTGCGAGCGAAGCTGGTTCGATGGTGGCTCTCAGCTTCTTCTACTGGGCTCTGGGTTTCGAAAAGTTCCGACATTTTATGAGGTTGTATCTTGTGACCGCCGATTCTTTGATTACTAACGGGAATTTGGAGAGAGCGCATGAGGTAATGCGATGTATGATAAGGAATTTTGCCGAGATCGGGAGGTTGAACGAGGCCGTTGGTATGGTAATGGATATGGAGAATCAGGGACTAATACCGAGCACGAGAACATTAAATTGCATTGTCGAGGTTGCGATTGAGATGGGTTTGATCGATTATGCAGAGAACGTGTTCGGTGAAATGTCTGTGAGAGGGGTTTGTCCAGATTCTGGCTCTTACAAGTTTATGGTTATTGGTCATTGTAGAGAGGGTAGAATTCTTGAAGCTCATAGGTGGTTAAGCGAAATGCTCCAAAGAGGATTTGTCACTGATAATGCTACTTGTACTTTGGTCCTTGATGCCTTCTGTGAAAAGGGTTTAGTGAACAGAGCTGTCTGGTATTTCCGTAGGATGATTGATTTGGGATTTAGACCAAACTTGATCAATTTTACTTCTTTAATTGATGCTTTATGCAAGAGAGGGAGTGTGAAACAGGCCTTTGAGATGTTGGAGGAAATGGTTAGGAATGGTTGGAAGCCGAATGTATACACTCATACGGCTTTGATTGACGGGCTATGTAAAAGGGGATGGACCGAGAAAGCATTTAGACTGTTCCTGAAGCTTGTTCGCAGCGATGGTTACAAGCCGAATGTACATACGTATACTTCGATGATCAGTGGGTATTGCAAAGAAGATAAATTAACTCGTGCAGAGATGTTGTTTAGCAGAATGAGAGAGCAGGGGTTGGTTCCTAATGTGAACACATATACTACGATCATCAGTGGTCATTGCAAAGCTGGAAATTTTGATAGAGCGTTCGAGTTGATGAATTTGATGAGTGAAGAAGGTTTTACGCCAAATATTTATACATATAATGCGATTGTGGACAGTCTTTGCAAGAAAGGAAGGGCAACCGAGGCATATAAATTGCTCAATAAGGCCTTTTCTTACGGAATAGAAGCTGATGGAGTCACTTACACTATTCTTATTTATGAACAGTGTAAGCAAGGTGACATTAAGCAAGCTCTCGCATTCTTGTGTCGGATGAATAAGATTGGCTTGGATGCCGATATGCATTTATACAACACATTGATAGCTTCATTTTGTAGGCAGAAGCAAATGAAGGAAAGCGAGAGGATTTTCAAACAAGTGATAGACCTTGGCTTGGTTCCAACTAAAGAAACGTATACTTCCATGATATGCGGGTATTGCAGGGATGAAAATGTTGATTTGGCTTTGAAATATTTTCGTAAGATGAACGATCATGGCTCTGTTCCTGATAGCTTTACTTACGGTACTCTAATAAGCGGCCTCTGCAAGAAATCTAAGGTAGAAGAAGCCCGTAGGCTCTATGAAGAAATGATTGACAAGGGTCTATCCCCTTCTGAGGTAACTCGGGTGACAGTAGCGTATGAGTACTGTAAGAGGAATGACTCGGCCAGTGCGATGATTTTACTGGAAACCCTAGACCATAAGCTCTGGATCAGAACGGTGAATACATTGGTAAGGAAGCTGTGTAACGAGAAGAAAGTCGGGATGGCAGCCTTATTCTTTCACAAGTTGTTGGAGAAAGACCGCAGGGTTCATCGCGTTACCATTGCAGCTTTCACCACTGCATGTCGTGAGACCGGAAAAGAGAACCTTGTTGCTGACATAACCGAAAGGATCTCCAGAGGAATAGGCTAGTAGTTGTGCTCTGCTTCTTCAAACTTTCGGATGCTGGTATTGGAATTTGGATATCCAGAATCTAGCCAAAGGACCTGAATGTTCAATTCATGATTGTTTCTACACTTGTGCTAAATGGTTTATCTGCAATGAGAGCATCTGATTCAGTAACATATTGCTCAGGTTGAATTCAGGGTAGAACCATAGAGTTGGAGTTTCAGTGTTTCTTCTTTCTTCTTTCTTCTTTCTTTTTGCCTTGAATATTTGTTCTTTGTTCCCATGATCATTGCTAACTAGCTGTTTTATATCATTTGATATGAATAGAAACCGATAATTTCACCACTTCCCCCCAAAAAGAAAGATCTTTTCTTTTTGCAAATCTTGAATCCAACTGGAAAGTTTGGATTTTGCATTCGTTTTCGCGTAAGCAATTACGTCAACAGTCCCAGCATTAAATCTTATAATTATGGTGAAGAAAAAAGAACTCATAAAGCTCTTTCTTTATCTTCGCGTCCGACAAAAGCAGTGGCTACGCATCAGCAAGTCTTGTCTTGTTTTCCCCCGGTACAAGACATCCGCCATTGTTGACTCTTCCACGTCCGACTAACATAAAATACTGTGTCTGCGCGAGCCCGGAAGATCAAACGCGAAATCAAGCTCGTTGATGACCGTGTTCGCGATCTTCACCAGCAAAAGTTGCTTGCTTTCTCTCGGTGCCAACCTTAAGATTCCTCGGTCTCTCCTCCAGAATTCTCGTTTCCAGGTACACGACCGTGATCTGTTTCCCGGTTCCAGAAATTCTTATTGCAGTCTGCTCGTAGTTGTATTGGGTGGTTCCTGATTTGGGTTTGATTTTGAGTTCTGGGAAAGCGATTCATGCCCACAGACTGAGCCTCTGTAATCTCTTTGGATGATTCAGAAGGATTTACAAAACCAGGGGATAATTTGCAGTTTCATAATGAAATTCGGGTTATAAAACTTGAAAAACTTCCATACATGCAATGTAACAGTTGATTCCAACACTTTATCATGATCTGGTCTCTAGGATTTAAGGGTTTACTCAGTTTTTGTGTAGATTCTTCTGAGATCAACGGTCAGCTCTTGGCATCGGTAGATTCACTTTATCATAATCTGGACTGAGATCAAGATCCTACGCTTGACTATTAGATGCAGCATTTGCATTAACCTCACCAGACCTTTGATTGTCTCCAGTGTACAGCAAGAATGGCCAGGTCTGCAGTTGATGAGACATCGGATTCTGGGGCTTTCCTGAGAACTGCATCAACTTTCCGCAACTTCATTTCACAAGACCCGAATTCTCTGTTTTCTGCAGAACCTGGAAGATACCATCTTTACGTATCATATGCTTGTCCTTGGGCTTGTAGATGCCTCTCGTTCTTGAAGATCAAGGGACTTGACAACGCCATAAGCTTCAGTGTCAGTAAAATCGTGTTTACTTGTCAACGTTTAAATTTAGATGCATCAAGTAATCGCTTATTAATCATCTTGATTCACTCCCTTGTTATATGTTAACGTTAGTCGGTTAAACCCATATGGGGAAGAACAAAGGAAAGCGACGAGCATATGGGATGGGTGTTTCCTGATTCAGATATCGAGGTCCCAGGAGCTGATCCTGACAATTTTAATGGTGCAAAGAGTATACGAGGGCTTTACGAGATTGCTAGCCCGAATTACGTGGGGAAGTACACCGTTCCTGTAAGTTCTGACTTGTCTTGTCCTTACCACTAATTCTCTTCTGTTTTCTTCTTCGAGTTGTGAATGGAATGATTCTTGCAATGCCAGGTTCTGTGGGATAAGAAGCTCAAGACTATTGTCAACAACGAGAGTTCGGAGATAATCCGTATGTTCAACACTGAGTTCAATCATATCGCAGAAAACCCAGATCTCGACCTGTATCCTCTCCATCTGCAAGCCACAATCGACGAAACTAATGAATGGGTCTACAATGCGATAAACAACGGTGTTTACAAATGCGGGTTTGCAAAGAAACAAGAGCCCTATAACGAGGTAAGCAAACTTTTCGGGATCGATCTATCTTACAAGTTAAGCATGATGAATTGAAGGCCGTCACCATATGCAACCAAACCCCCACCATGTTTTCTGCAGGCGGTGAAACAGCTCTATGAAGCACTGGACCGGTGCGAGGAAATACTCACGAAACAGCGTTACATCTGCGGAAACGCTTTAACCGAAGCGGATGTCCGGTTATTTGTCACCCTTATAAGATTCGACGAGGTATACGTGGTGCATTTCAAATGCAACAAGAAACTGATAAGGGAGTACAAGAATCTGTACAACTACACAAAGGACGTGTTCCAGATCGGTGGGATGAGTGGAACGGTGAACATGGAACATATAAAGCAGCATTACTACGGCAGCCACCCTTCCATCAACCCGTTCGGTATCATCCCTCTCGGACCAGACGTCGATTACTCTTCCCCTCATGACCGACACAGATTCTCCTCCTAAGTCCAAATCCATCGTCTTGTCCTTTTTTTTTTACGCGAGCGTTTGTGTGCTAAGTCATGTTCTGGTTTTTTTACGTTTTGTTGAAGGTTTTCTCAATAAGTTGATGTCTTGATAATGCGTCATATTTTCCTAATGAAACGAGGAAAATATATGATGCAGTTTCACTAGCTATATATTTGAATATATACATACACACTATTTACTATTCACAGATCAGATATTCGTGTTTTTTAATATTCGATTTCGACCTTATCCCACAGGCTTTCTAGATATTGTCAAGAAACCGATACTTGTGGTCCGAGTAACCACAAGTATCAATTGTAGAGTATATTGATAATTTAAAAAAATAGATTTATGGATATAGATGTAATTGTACTTATATATAGATTTACGGTTAACCATCATAGTTATTAGTTATGAAAAATATGAATCCGAATTCAAAACCTTAATCTGAAATTTTTTATCTTCGGTTTTTGTATGATCGGATACCCGCGGATATGGTCCGAAAGCCTGTAACCAGTCCATGGTACATATGAACCATACGTTTACAAATTAAGGTGGTTGGTGGTAAATGAAAATGATTATTATCAGAGTAAAAAAAAAAAAGATACTAGTAAATTTACTTGATAAATGATAACCACGTTTCATGAATTTATATATTTATGAATTTTTTATTAGTGAATCTGCAATAGTCATCATAGGTTTAATTTAAGGACAAAGATTATTCATGCATCCATCTTAAACTCAATTAAGAAACACTGGACGGATATAATTAAGGGTTTAATAAAATATTAATATTTGCTTTTGGGTTTAATGATCCATTCACGGAACAAGAAGAACCGAAGAAATCAGGGATCAAATCATTACGACAGCTTTTTCAATCTGTCTTCTTCTTGCGTCCCCGTTTCCCAACGATCAGCCTTACCTTGCACGGCTTCTTCTCCATAGCTTGTTTCTTTTTTTTCACCCTTCTTCTCCCTCCACCAATTCGAGATAATCGCCGCCTGTATCCCAATTTGGGTTCGGATTCTTCACCTCCGTTGGTAAATTTCTGTGCTTCAGATTCACCGATGGCTTTGTTGTTGGAAGAGATCATTCGATCAGTGGAGCTGTTGCTGAGGCTCAGGAATCAGGAGAAGAAACCCTATGTTGACCCGAATCTCGACCCGGTTCTTTTGGTACCCGGAATCGCTGGTTCGATTCTGAACGCTGTTGATCACGAGAACGGGACTGAAGAAAGGGTTTGGGTACGAATCTTCGGTGCCGATCGCGAATTCCGTACAAAGCTGTGGTCTAAGTTCGATCCTTCCACTGGTAAAGTATCATATCCGAATCAAAAGGAAAGATTGATTATTTGTGCTTTTTTTTCCCTTGATTGGTGCGTTTGATTCCCGAGAAAATAGCTAAGAAAGACAGCAATTAGCTCGGTCTTTTCGGTTCAAGAGGTGTCTGAGCTCTAATTGGCATAGAAAAGATTGTTCTTTTTGCCTTCAATTCACCGAGTTGTGTGTAGAAACTCTTTTAATCTCTTCTCCATCGAATTTTGCCTGCCAAGTTCTAAACTGTGTTCATCTGAAACAGGGAAGACGATCACTCTCGATCCAAAAACTAGCATTGTGGTTCCTGAAGACAGAGCTGGGCTCTACGCGATTGATGTCTTAGACCCAGATATGGTATGATTTATCTTTAGGTGTTTCAACTTGGGAGAGGGATGGTTTCAAGTTTTTGGACTGTAAACTACTATATCGAAAGTTCAGTGCAAAAGAGAACACTGGGAATGCCTTTCATTGCTCTATCCACTGGGAATGCCTTTCATTTCTCTATCTTTCAATCTTGGCCTTAGTTAGCATGTTCAAGAACTTGTTGACGTTTTAACTTTGTCTTCTGTAGATAATTGGGGCCGAAGGCGTGTATTATTTCCACGAGATGATTGTTGAGATGATCGGGTGGGGATTCCAGGAGGGAAAAACTCTTTTTGGTTTTGGATATGATTTCCGTCAGAGCAACAGGTAATATATCTTTATGATTCTGTAAGTCTTCAGCGACTAGCAATCCATTTACCTACTTTCTATGCATGTTTTCTCTTACGATTTCATATTTCTGTTAGTCTGAGCAACTTTTTAACTTCAAAAGATTTGTGAAAATCAAATGATTTCCAAGATTATTTGGTCGTTAAGATCTGAGAGTGCTTGAAGAGATACAACTCCAAAAATATGGGAAACTCTACTTGCGAAAAGGCTGATTCTTACAGCTAACAACCTTTCATTTGACCTTACATACTCATGAACTAACCTTTTTATGTTTGAAACGAACTAGACTGCAGGAGACAATGGACCATTTTGCGAAAAAGTTGGAGTCAGTCTACAAAGCATCAGGAGAAAAGAAGATCAATGTTATAAGTCATTCCATGGGGGGCCTGTTGGTGAAATGTTTCATGAGTCTACATAGTGATGTAAAGCACCCCGATTCCTAGTTTATATTGTTTCCTGTATTTTTTAATGTTGTGATTTTGCCTCTTTCTAACGATTTTGGTGATTTTTTGTCACCAGATATTTGAAAAGTATGTAAAGAACTGGATTGCTGTAGCTGCACCATTTCGTGGTAAGTGTCTAGAACTATTGTTTGACCTTGTTATGGTGAGATTTGTTTCTTTCATTATACTTCCTTGAGAATAACCATTTCTCCATTACTGTTAACGTACTTCAGTTTGTATGACCCATTAACGGGAAATGACCAATCCTCTCTTGCTTTGTTTGAAATTGAATCCATCTGCCAACTGAGATTGGTGTCACATTGTTGTGGCAGGCGCTCCTGGATATATCACTTCGGCCTTGCTAAACGGCATGTCATTTGTCAATGGTTGGGAACAGAATTTTTTCATTTCAAAATGGAGCATGCATCAACTGGTATGTATGATGATTGATCTCTATCTCTTGGAGATTGACATTCCTTTTCATTCTACTGAGGCGAAATTTATTACTTCTTCCCCGTTGTTGCTGTTTCAGCTTATTGAATGTCCATCCATTTATGAGTTGATGTGTTGTCCGGGTTTCGAATGGCAACTCCCTCCGGTTTTAGAGCTGTGGAGAGAAAAACAAAGTAATGGTGAAACCTCTGATGTTGTTCTGGAGTCTTACTGCACGCTGGAAAGCGTTAACGTTTTCAAGGAAGCTCTTGCAAGTAATGCGGTAAGACTCATGCGTTTGTTTCCATGAATTCACGTTATTAGCAGGATAAATTTCATTAAAGAATGATAGGAAAAAACTCTGTGCATGTTCTTACCTAGAGAATATTTTGGTCCCTAGATGCGGAAGTAACATTTTTGTCACATTGATTATTTGGACATAACATATGTTATACTGCATATATAATTCAGGCCATGTATGATGGAGAGGCCATCCCACTTCCTTTCAACCGGGCGATCATGACATGGGCGCATGAAACTCACAGAATTTTGTCTTCTGCCAAGTTGCCTCCTCAAGTTAAATTCTACAACATATATGGCACGAATTTAGACACCCCTCACAGTGTTTGGTAATGCTTCTTGTTTTTCTCATAAAACTGCTTCATATGTGTGAGCGCATATATATATATATATATACCAGTCTGTTACTCTTTGCAAGTTACTTTTGTCTTTCTAATTTTGATATCTTTTTCCAGCTACGGAAATGAGAAGATGCCCGTCAAAGATCTGACAAAGTTACGGTACTTTCAGGTAACAGTTATAGTTTCTACGTAGCAACTGTCGTTGCTATCTTAATGTTTTGCTCTTGACAACGCTCTTTCACATTATAAATGTTCTATGGACTTTGTAGGTTCCATGTTAATTTCCAAACAACTTTGTTACGTTTCTTTTTCACACGCACTGACTTTAGATCATCTATCTCCGGTAATTTCAGCCTACATATATATGCGTTGATGGTGACGGGACTGTCCCTGTGGAATCTGCTATGGTACGTTAACCGGATATTCCATTTTATGAATCTGTTTTCCGTTACATATTATTCATGCTGCGGATCTTTTCGAACTCAAACTCAAAGTGTTGATTGAATTTACTCATTAGAATTAACCGTTCTCTGTGCAGGCGGATGGGCTGAAAGCAGAAGCAAGGGTTGGAGTCCCAGGTGAGCACAGAGGAATCCTTAACGATCATCGAGTCTTCCGCATGCTCAAACAATGGCTAAAAGTGGGAGAACCGGACCCGCTTTACAACCCGATAAACGATTACGTCATCATACCCACCACATTTGAGATGGAGAGACACCACGAGAAAGGCATCGAAGTTACATCTGTGAAAGAAGAATGGGAGATCATCTCTTCTGATAATGATCGTAATGGCGACGATACAGCCTGTGTGAGCTCCATATCCATATCCCAAGCCGGAAACGATCAGAACCCACCTGCAGAAGCTCGAGCCACGCTCGTGGTTCTTCCCCAGAACGACGGCAGACAGCACGTGGAGCTTAACGCCGTGAGTGTCTCAGTTGATACCTGAAATATTCTTTTTACTCGACCAATGTACGGTCATGTCTGGCCTTGTCTCTGTCTCCTCCTCCATGTGTCAGTCAAAGACGAAGTCATGTCTCTGTGTATATAGAACTTTACGAGTATTGTCACGAGTAGTCTCGTACTGATGTAAATAATCGTCGTCATGTAGTAAAACTGCATGGTATGCATGTTACATGTGCACATGCATGCATGCATGCATTCGAAGTCTAGAAAGATTGGAATCTAATGGACCGATTTTATGTATGGAATAAGTGATATTTTCATCTTTAGCTCTTAACCTTTACTTTAGAATATGTTCTTTTTAATAACCTTTGTGTCTTAATCGGACATATTATTATTATTATTCTTTGCTTTGGTTCCACTTCCATTCTCTGTCTGACATTGTTATTCCTTATGCCTTGCTTTATTATTTAGATTTTTTCGTCGGCTAAAATTTTAATAATTATAATCATATTTTTTTTTATTTTCTTGAAAATAGATATCCAACATTCTATTCAAAACAAAATGAACCTCGAAAAAAAAAAGTATATTATGCTAAAAGAAGAAAGTACAGCCAATTTAAGCATCGACTATCGAATTCCATACAACAAAAATACTCAAACTTGTAGCACATTACAAACCTCGGTTCACACGCTCAGAACTTTTATTCAAATGTCTTTCGGATAATATCTATTAGGTTGAAAGCCATATTATTGCACTATCATATAGTATAAACATAAACGACCCTTCAACCTATATATATACATATATATATATATAAAGAGATGGAGAGAGAGAGATGAAGTGTGGTTAAGTGAATGAGGGAACTTAGTGTGATTTCGGGCGAATGGCAACACCTTTGAGGAAGAGGCCTTTCTTCCAAGTCCCAGAATCATGCTCACACATCGAGAACTTGATCTCTCCGGTGTTCTCCGGCGACGGAACGAACTCTCCGGCGGGAATCTCGAGCCAGTGGTACCTCCTCATCTCTCTCAGGTTCACTTTCCGTTCAGGGCTCTGTCCCGACGGAAGATTCAGCTTCACGTTGACGGGCGTGTCCCATCCGTACGCAGGATCTTCTAACTTCACCACGAACACAACCTCGTACCTTGTCCCCGGCGTTAGGTCCTTCATGTCGAACCTCCCACTTATGTCCAGCCAGCACACGTTTCTCAGCTCCACAGCATCAACAAGTGTCTCGCTGTCAAAAAAAAAAAGAGAAAGAATCACGACAAGGGCAGTTTATGGAATTATTAACATCGTTTTAAATGAATGGTAAGCGTTGAGAAATTTAGTAAGGCGTTATATTAATAATTACTTCGGAGCCTCTTTGACAGTGAACCAGGACCAGTAGCTCGCGTTTTCCGACCAAGTAATGGCGAGATCACGTGCGTAGACCATGAAACAGTTGCTGTTCGAGCCACCGTCGATCCAATATTTCTGCAGATTCCGATATTAGATTTTTTTTTTTTCCTTTTTGCGAAATTCAGAAAACAAAGCGACAAAAACCTGTTTCTTGTTCTTCAAGAAAACACCATCGCGGAGGCGTTGGAGTTTGTCGCGGTCGAGAGGAGTGTCGGCGTTTTTCAGAATGGAGTCGCAGTTGTGAGGGAGTTTTCCGACCATCCTCTCCGATGGTGACATGGCCACGACGGAGCTTCTTGGTACGCCTCTCTCCTCCGTAACTTGCCCGTCTTGGATCGGTACGTTCACCGCTTGTTTGCTCGATCCCATTTTCTCCTTTGTTTTCTTTGTTATATATCTCTCGTCTTTCTAATTTCACAAAGAGGTGTCGTGATATTTTGCCTTCGTTCCGGTTTACGTTTTATAGCCTCCCAAAAGAGGTGTTTTACAGAACTTATTCCATTTTCCCTCCTTTATTTTATATATATAATTATTTTAACGGTTTATACTATTTTTAAAAAATACATTTATTTATTTATTTACATTGTGCGCACTCTTCTGGGCTACACGTGGCACATTTCTGTATCACATCTCAAATTCCATCCAATCCTATAATCAGAATTTGTGCCTTTCATTTCATCTAAGATTTTTTTTTTTTGGTTCTACAATACGAAATGATTCGATGCTTCGCGTTTGTCCCACCACTTGGTGCTCCCAACATCTGCACCGTCCGCTCTGCATCTCCACCATCTGTCAGAATCTATGCCTCTTGTGCGTCCGCATCCTCCTCCTCATCACGATCTAGGCGATCGCTGCTTTCTCTGTCTGTCGTCTCCGTCTCCGCCGCCGTCGCCATCTCCACTTGTTGTTCTTCTCCGGCGCTCGCTGACTTCTCCGAAATCCCTAGTTCCGGCGGCGTTAGGGCTTTGGACCTCCGTGTCGGCGACGGTGAAGTCCCCGTCGACGGTGATGAGGTCTGTCATACATATTATCTATGCATACGCTTGTTCGTGTGTCTGTATTTGAAGGTGTGGCGAAAAGCCCTAGAATTTCACATGAAAGCGACATGGATTTTGATTATAAACTTTTGCATGATTAGGTTGCAATACATTACTATGGGCGATTGGCTGCGAAACAAGGATGGAGATTCGATTCGACGTATGATCACAAAGATAGCAGTGGCGAGGCTGTTCCCTTCACGTTCATCCTTGGTTCCGGCAAAGTACAAAACACTTTTTTAATCTTTACAACTCCCAAAGTTTTAAGCTTTATCATGCTTACTGCATTGTATGTGCATCACTATGCTTGCCCAAAAGTGTGGATAGTTTCTTTAATTGTTGGGCAACATGCACATTGGGCGTTAGATGGGGGAAGATCATGTGAAAATTTTTAGACATTTTCCCAAAATAGAGGTAGCTTCTGCTATGATTTTGATATTCAAATGTTCATGTCAATCAGTGTGGTTCTTTGACTCTATTTCCGGGTTGTTTAAGCTTCTAGCTTGGTGTTATGGGGGTTGACATTATTCCGTGCATCTGTTCTTTTTGTGTATCTGCATAAACCTTTTTCCTGCTGTGCAGCCTGAACTCATGTTCTTTGTTCTGGCATTGGTTGGAGAGCTGTTTTGATATTTGATTAGATGAGGGTAATATGACTGCAGGTCATTCGGGGGATTGTAACAGCGGTGAAATCAATGAGAGTAGGGGGAATTCGTCGGGTGATTATTCCTCCCTCGCAAGGCTACCAGAATACATCACAAGAACCTTTGCCACCAAATGTATGGACCTTACCTCTTCACTCTTTCAAAGGAATGTTGTTTCTGCATTTCAATTCACATGGCACATCATATACTGCTTTCATTGCCAAAACCTGAAAAGATAACATTCATTCATCGCCATTCTTCCTTCAAAACTTCTTATGCGTTATATATATTGCCTTCACCAATTCATCATCCATGTGATTTAATTGGATTGCTTGGAATGGATATCTGGGTCTTATTCCCTTGTTTCTGATCCTTTGATTGCCATAAATATCTTCCAACTTCTCCTCCCTTAAACCCCTCGTTCGAAACACCGAGTCTGGTCAAGTTTTCAGTTGTTGATATACATAGAGAACATGAAGATTTCACTATACTGACACTGAATTTCACAGCCCTTTATGTATGCATACATGTATATATATATTTACATTGCAGCTGGAAAATGGTATGTAATATATTAGATGTTAATGTAAATGTTGGTGCAGTTTTTTGACAGGCAAAGGCTCTTCACCACGATATTCAACCCAACTCGACTCGCTAACGGAGAAGGCTCTACCTTGGGAACTCTCATTTTCGACATCGAACTTGTCAACCTCAGACACCGCCCCTAGTGCTTAACCTGCTATCTGTTATGGCGTTCATAGCCGTTTGAGCATTTGCCATTCGGTTTTGGGCCTAATTCTTTTCCAGGTTACAGAATGGGCCATTCTTGGGCCACCATAAGGCCCATATGTTTCGGTTTGTCCACTGATGAGGGGTTACCGGTTATCAAGTTTTCTGTCTAAAGATCGATGATGAATGGCCCACATGGACCAACGTGGAGACAGTAGCTATGGTTTACTTCAGTTCCGTTGAGTAAAACCTAACATGTAATCATAATGGATATAATTTTTTAAAAATCGAATATTAAAAAAATGATAAATAAATATTTTTATTAGTAATGATCGAAAAATCGAATCGAATTTGATATAAAAATTAAATGAAAATAATTTTAATAAAAATTAGATTATGGCGAATTTAAACTCAAACTGAAATATGTTACTCTTGATGTGACATGTTATAAATGTTTTAAACGGAAGATGTTTTTGGGTTTTTAAAATCTAAAAACCAAAAAAATTGATAATTAAATTTTTATAAAAATAGTTTTTCTAAAAACTTGAAAAATCACTTAATGGATAAATTAATTTTAAACTAATTTTTTTTAGATTTACAAAAACTAAAATCCAAAAATCAAAAACTAAAAACTAAAACCAAAAACTCGTAATAAAAATTACCATCATTCAAAGTCAAAATTGTTGAATTTTTAAGATATTTTTCATGAATGCAAGACCTCCATGACGTGGAAATCGATGGGCGAGTAATGGGGAATTATGGGGCGTGGAGTTTTTTCCTCTCCATATTTCCTGAAGTCAATACGAAATATCTAATGTAAAATTCATACCGGTAAACATAGACTTGTTGAATGAATCCATGTTAAAGTTACAAAACCGCTCCACGTTCTATGTATTATCAAAAAACATGATCTATACGAATCTTCGACAATGGGTTAGGAGAAAAATAATCACAACAGTTGGAGATTATATATTCCAAAGTTATTTAAATTCGAAAGTCATAACATATCATTTTTCAACGGTGTCTGTGATATTAAAAAAATATATATATTTTGTGGATGACGTGGCATTTCTGTTTTCATATTTGGCCGTTGTTGTATTATGTCTCGATATATAAATGTATACACACATACTTATGTAAGCGTACACGATGTTTCATATTAAAAATGCTATCTTACCAGCATTGCATTTTGCTGATTCATATTGATTTGATGATACTTGACTATGGGGTTAATTAGTCATATCAGAGTGTTCGCCGTGTTAAGCATATCATAAAATCTTTTCGCTTCAACATTTAGCTCTTCTTCCATATATGGAGAAGGAGCAACGTTGGGAAATACATCATTCACCATCTCTGCATATAGATTTTGGTATTGATCTTCTTGAAAGATCGGAGGTAGCGACGTGTTTTCCACAAGTTGTTCTTGCATTTGTGAAACACGTGATGATGACGACGTATCATACGTTTCTCCATGAGCCAACCAAACATAATAGTTTGACATAAAACCTCTTCTATAAAGGTGCTTACACACTTCATACTGACTTCGCCATCTTTTATTCTCGCATTTTGAGCACGGACATGGTAACTTCGAACTCTCAATGTACGACGTTTGACTTGTTGCAAACGCCATAAAATGTTGTAATCCTTCAGCAAACTCACTCGAGATTTGATTAGAAGAATCATCCACATTCTGGATGAAAAAGACATTTTTTTGTAAATAATTTTTTTTTTCGTTAACAATTTTTTTTTCTATCTATGCATGCTCATCGCGCGGCGGATATATAGGAGAGAGTTGCGACGGAATTGCGACCGATATTTTCTGTCGTAAAATGAATTGCGACCGAAGTGCGACAGAATTGCGACAAAAGTTAGGTGACATACCATTCACGTGTGTACCTAATTTTGCGACACATCGGTGAGTCGCACGTCAGTCGCAAATATTGAGCGACGCCTACAGTGTGTCGCATATCGGTCGCATTACATCCGCGACGCATAACATCTGTCGCAAATGTGTCGTACACGTAGCCCGACCGAACATATCTGTCGCATATTGTGTCGGTACATACCGACAGACCATCTGTCGTAAATTATCTGTCGTTTTCCGTCGTGTTTCTGTCGCAAATACGTGCGACAGATATAACGGTCGCAAGCGGTCGGAAATTTGCGACAGATTTTGCGTTCAAGTCCGACAGAGATATTTTTCCGAGATTGTGTCGCTTTTTAGTCGCGGTCTGTCGCAAATTTAGTTGCGACTGAAAGTTCGGTCGCAACAGGTGTCGCAAATTTCAGTTTTTCTTGTAGTGCTAATGGGGTTAATTAGTCATAATGGAGATTAGCCGCCTAAGATTGCATTTGTATGGGCTTCTCCTGAAGCAGTCATATTCATATACTTAATTCCCTCTTGGTCCAATTCAACTGTTTATTTAAATTATTAGTCAGACGTTATGTGTTTTGTTTTTATAATTTCCTTGCCTTAATTTTCTATTTCATTCTACCCTTTTTCTGAATATAAAGACAACTTCGTATAGTAATACAAGTCATATATATTAATAATATCACATCGAAACTCGTACTCGATATTTGAATATAGATATATATATATGATAAATAATTCGTAACAAAAATATTTAATGTAATATTTTTTATCATATCTGATTAGATCTCAATATTATATTAGATATTTTATTCGAATTCAAATGGATTTGGAAGCTATACTCACTCATGTGTATCCAACTAAAACATAAGAATAACGAAATGATTTGATATTAATTAGTCTCCAAAACGCAATCAACCCAACAAAATGCCCACCTAGATTATTTAACAATTTTGTCCTTATCTTCCATCCGTAAATATGTTTTATTTTTAAAAAAACAATCATTAAAAATATTGAAATTAAGACTTATAATGAATCTGGACCCCCTATGACAGTTTCTGGTGGAACATTATTATTGACCTTATATTGAAATAAAAACCATATGGTATAACATATATATATATATATATATATATATCAACCAATATATATATGTCCGTGACGCAGCCTCCTTAAACGAATTCTCCCGATAAGAAAATGACGTTTTACATTATCCTGTCTTTTTCTTCCTCCGTATGATTGTGATATTTATCAATCGGGCTGTTTCTTAGAAGCAATGGTTTGACAAATTTTATTCGTATTAGAGCCATATACATGACATTGAATTCAAACACAACTTTGGGAATGGTGTGCATATTATATATATATATATATATATATATATATATATATTAATTTGCTACAACTTCGAAAAATATAGAGATAATTAAAAATCTCCATCTTCTAAATTTGATGAAATTCAAGATCAATTAATTAGAAATTTCAAAATAGTGTTTTTAAGGATACCGCTTTTTTTTCAAACGTTTATCCTCTTTAGAATATAGTATCAAAAAATCCATTTAATTAAACAAAAATATATAGCACAATTTTTTTTTAAAAAAAAATCACTATTGTTTTGCCTAAACGTGCAAAAGTCCACATGATTACGAAAGAGGCTGTGGTTAGCAGGAGATTAGGTGGACGATTAAGGCAATTTAGCCTGTGAGCTATGATTGTCGTGTGAAACTAATAATGTGCCCCTTTGAACATAAACTAATTCAAATCGAGTTCAAGATTAGCACAGTGGTCGATGTCTGTCCAAATCATGGCACATATATATATATATATATATATAATACACATTATTATCAGCATGATTAGATCTGAATCTGTTTTCTTTGTTATAAATTAAGCGGCCGGGTTAGTGGGACATCCAAATTCCAGAGTGCGTTTAAATCATTCGATTAAGATATGTGGGCGACTAATTATGTCTTAATTCTTCTAATTTTATATTAAATTTTGGCTTTATAATCATGGTCAGTAATGACAGAGTCATCAATCGAACACATCATTTCACATTTTGCTTTGCTATTTTTTTCCCCTTTAAAAATTCGTTTTCGTGCTCTCAAAGAGAGGTTTCTTTTTTGAAATAAATAATCGGAATATTTATCATAAATAATTATAATTTGTTTATTTATTGTCACAAATATACCTTATGTAAGAATCAAACGTATGGAAATAATACATTTTGGTTGAATTTAGATAAATAATATGGATATTTCCGATTAGTCTTAAAGAACGGTCCACGCAAACCCATATCAGATGTAACACAATATGCTCCCCTTATATTTATTAATTAGTTTTCCCTTAGGTGCAATTATTGGAATATACAGCCGGTTATGTGCATTATTGGTTTTTTTTAAACGTTATAAGTGTGTTATTTCGTCTCATAATTTTTTTTCTACTTTCAAAATATATATTAAAATTTTGTATTATTTTATTTTGGGTATTACACAACGAATTTATCGATGTTTATTCAGAATTAAACTAATAATAATATGAATAACAGTAAGATTCACAGATTTTTTTAATTTAATAGAAAATTAAGATACAATTATTTATTTAACATAAGAGACAATAACGTAAGAAGAGAATATCTGATTTTCATAAGGAAAAAGGCAACTATAAATTTAACCAAATGCAAAAATAAAAATGATGGTATGTTTAAAGAATCTAATACCAAAGTAATAATGTCTTCTTTATAAGAACAATATATTACACACACATATGTGTATATATATATACGTATACGTGTATATACACGTATAAACTTTAGAGAAAGAGTAAAGGGGAGGAAGAAGAACTTGTTCCAAAGTGAAATGTTTCACCTCACGCTCGCAAAAAGGGGATAAAAATGAGGAGGGGGAATAGTGGACCAAAAATATTCCAAGTAAAAAAAAAAGGGACATAAACCTGAAACGTGACAGAGATATATGTGAACATTAAGAAGATACTTTCACTAATCTGTTTGCATGGGGTCCCCCCCTCTATTGATTTTCACGTTTACTTTTGTCCCGAGGGCTTGGCATGTTCATGTTCATGTTCATGCTCATGTCCATGAAAACACCGAATCAATCACATAAAGCTGAGAGGGAAAAACAAAAGTAGAAGAGATGCTTGAGCAGTAGTGGGAGTTGCTATTATCACATACACATTCGACTTTTGAATAATAATCAGCTAAATATTATTTTTTTAATTTTAAAAAAAAAAGATGAATTTGTAAAAATTATTGGAAAAATTAACAGGTTAAAAGGTAAAGGGCATGTTTGCTTTCTCAAGTGTTGTATCCCCACCATCTCTCTCTCTCTCTCTTTTTTTATTTTTAAATTTTTGTTTTGAAACTTCTAGGAAACCCTTTGCTTGCATTTGCATATAGATGGTTTGGTAAAATAGTGTCTATATAGTCATGATATCACATTATCATACCATATATGTGCATGTGCATCTATGTGCATATAGATGCTTGACCGTAGGATTTTGGCCTTTCTCAATCAAAACACAATTGATATTAATTTGCATTAATATGCTATATAAATTAGTTTAACGAGTAAGACTAATTTTATAATCATTTTATTCTTGTAAATCTGTTTGTCAATGAAATTATAATATTTTTTTAGTGTTTAACAATGGATATACGTACGTGTGGTCTTTCTTGCGACCCCGTCCATTGAACATGGGTTATATAATAAGGTTCATTTATTCATGAATATTTACATTAGGCAGATACATACATACATACATGCATGTGTGTGTATATTAAGCGATTCGAGTTCTCGAATTTATAAATGGTCAAAGGTGTTATTATATTTATAAATGGCAATCGATCGTGAATCCTACGATTTTTAAAAGAAGGCAGCAAACCTCCAATTATTTTGATTGTGTATGGAGTTATGTACGAACATAAATATGCGTGCTTTTGAATATTTAAGAAATGTCCAATGTAATTGTATTTTCGTGTCATCCATTAATGATAATTATTTAATTTTGTTTTTATAAAGCAGTCTGCCATTCTTAACAAAACAATACCGGGAAAAGAACAAACAATTTTAATTTAATTAATAAGAATAACGATGGGCAAATGGTCACATGATTGATGATAATTAATTAATTAATTAATTAAACTAAGCATTATACTGACATAATCATACAGACAAACTAGCCTTAAGTTCTGATCAATCTCCACTTATTTTAATAAAACATGTGTTTCTAAAAGTACGCAAAATCTCCACCTAATATACCCTCCTCCTCAGCGGACATAATATAATCGTATCTTTATCTTTATATTATTTGTTTCAGAAAGTCTAGATCACTATACCCAATTATTTTTATTTTAATATATTGGCTAAGATGCTTTAATCTCGAGATTATATTATATACAATTATTTGGTCTTCCCATACATTGTTTTATGCTATCATCGTTTCCACCTTTATCTATATTCGTGCTTTTTTGGTTATATCTCTCGTACTTTTATTTGTCATTTTTCTTGGGTGGAAGTTAGTTCAACCACACGACTCTGTATATATATACACACACACACACGATGCCAATGCCATTAATATGTGAAAGATGTACGAGACATTGGTTTACAATTCTATATATACATATATATATATAGATGATGCCCTTAATACGTGAAAGATGTATGAGACATTGGTTTAAAATTATATGTACATATGCATAGTGGTATAATTGTTTTTAAAGAAATGGTAAACTATGCCATACTTTCATATTATAAAAACTAATTCTTTATTAATTTGAATGATGTAATATGCGAAAGATATGAAATATCATGAATTAAATAGTGAAATGTTGCATGATTATCTATATAGTTTTTAACTGCAATTGTGTATAATCTAATTGTCGTGGCAAACACTTAACTTCTCTGTCACATGACGATTCTATACACCCCAACTTGTTCATATATGTATAAATATATATTCTCGAAGAAAAGAATATATAAGTTTTATTTTATTCGACCCACGCATCTTTCGTATGGCATCTCAAGACAAATCTTAAGCTGACGAACTTGCATACACACACACACCTCCACGAATTATGTATGGAAAAAATAGAATAAATATATACACAAATACAAGATAAGGTTCAGTGTGTGTGTGTATATATATATGGGGACCTTTTGGTTGCTTTAGGGTTTGACAGTGCTTTAGGGAATTTAAGACAATGCTCACAAGTCACAGACACGTTACGTAGTGGGATGACTGTTTCCAATTTTTTTAAATCTATAAATTATTTTTTATTTAAATTGCAATTTCTTTCTTCTTAAAAAAATAATATTTTTGTGGGTGTTTGTGTGAATGACCTAACAAGTTTGTGTTGGAGGATTTGGCAATCAATTTCGTAGCTTAGTAGTGGATGGTGATGTGACCAATTGATTAAATGTCCACGCCAATTTATTCACATATTCAAATCATGCAATATGTGCTGTGACGGTATATGAATGTGAAAAAGACTATACACAAAAACAGCTCGACCCAGTGAAGGAATCTCTCGCCCACTCTTTCTAACATACATTTTTTTTTTTATATTTTATCTCAAAATCATTAGTTGAGAATATATTTAAATTAATCTAATTAGAAATATCATGTTTTTATATTGTTTTAACATTTTTTCCCAACAAATTATTATAGATATACCATTGTAAATAAATTAAGTACACATCATATTATTTTATCTTGTGGGGACGTTTCCACAGAGACATGATGGATGCGGCCATGGCCCCAGTCTATCTCCTTCTTTGTCTAATTAGCTAATAAGTTATTATCGTTTTCCCCAAAGCAATTTAATTTTTAATTTGACGAAATTTCGAAAATAAAAAAACTCATAACGCTATTTTGGACAAACTTGTGCATATGTATATATATGTATGTGTGTGTGTATAGTTTTGCCGTGATGGGCATGGCCTAGTAATAGCATATGGTACTCCGACCCACTTTTATCGAATTTGGTGGCTCTGCGATCATAATGATGTATTGTTCCACCATTTCTTATAAATGCTCTTTTCACTGCCAATCTTCCTCCACTCTTTTCCTTGCCTTTAAGTATTGTTCCATACTATATTCATTATATATATATATATATATATATATATGAGTGTGTAAATATTGATTAAAGCAACATCCTTTTTTCCTTTACCAAAAAAAATTAGAAGGGGTAACTTCGAAAATTAGTTTACATATTTAACAAAAATAAAATTTGGATTTCATTCCCATTTATACGTGGGAATAACTGTGTATACATAAAGCGCATGCATACTTGGTATAAAATATATATGTGTGTGTGTATATATGTACATAAATAATTGTAACTTTATGCATAGATTCGCACACTATATATATAATAAGTATACATATATATATACATATATATAAAAGTTGAATAGAGATACGCATGAATGTGTCCGCAAAGCCTTTAATGTGGTCCACTCTGTCCCACACTGAAAATCACCCCCTCCCTCACTGATGACAACACCTAGTTATCCGTACAGTGATAAATTATTTTGTTTTTATTTTATTTTTAATTAATTATTTTATATTATAGAAATAAGGAAAGGGGAGGAGACGACAAAGCCAGAAGCCAACAAAGAAAGAGAGAACTCTTTTTCACGAAGAAATCAAACAGAAAGGTCCTATGGGTCCCACCTAAAACGTGGCGTTCCCGTCATGGCCCCCACACGCTTCGCACGTGCACCTCTCTCTCTCTCCACCTAAAAAATATCCAACTCCAGATAAAATCATACAATAATATTATTAATTAAATTAGTATGCTCCCCCCTCTAAAACTATCCGGTATTTAAAAAACCTGTGATGAAATCAGAAACAATTCGCAAAAAATAATCATTTTCTAGAAATAAAAACGCCACGAAGAATAGAACAAATAACTTTGTAACTTGAAACGTGTCCCTTAAATGAATCATCATCAAATGAAAATTAAATTTTAGAGCTATGTGAAAATTATAAATTTTATGTAACTGTAATTGTCGTAATACTATATATCATGTACCATCATTAGCTATGTCTCTAATCCTAGGTAGGTTATAGGGACAAGCTTTCTTGTTGCGCATATATATATATATATATGTATATAGAACAAATAGAAAGTAATTATTGACATAAAAAATTGGTGAATAATGGGTCCTATAAAATAAACATGCCACGATGGATTTTCTATTCAATTGTCTGACGTGGCAACCGTATAGCGGGCTTGACACGTTGAGAATATGCCGCGTGTCGGCTGCCGAGGGCTTTGTGTTCTGCCACGAGTTGATTTTAAAATGAAGTAAAAATGAAAATAAAAAGTAAAGCAAAGAAAATAGCTGAAATTCCGGAACTGCCCCTGAAAGTTTGGCCGTGACAGAGACCGACCAATCGCCACAGTGCTTCCGGCCATTGAATCTCTGCCCCCCCCCTTTTTTTTTGGTTTCCTGCTTAAATATTCGGCTTAATTTTGGTAAAATCTATATGTAGATATCGTGAATCCCGGAGTGCATAGTTAACCAAACTGAAAAAGAAGTTGGTGAATTATGGTAAATTTTATTTCCTTGCGAAATTAATATATGATAAAATAACATTTGTGTAGAAATAATACAAAGAAACAAAGCCTAAGATGGGATGTTTGACAAATTAGATGCGATGAAAAATTGGTTGGACTTTCTTTATTTTCGGGGATTGGTATATATTATAAAAGTAAATAAAATTTTAGAAATAGAAAAAGATATTATGAGGGTTTGACAAGTCAAGCTATATACGGGAAGGTGTGTTGGTGTTTGTTACTAAAGTGTCAAAAGGAAAGATATATGGGTGCATTTAATGGATTAAAGATTGGAAAAAAAGGATGGTCTTCCTATTCTCTCTCTAGAAAATGCCTCAAGATCTCCCTTTCTCTTTCTCTCTCTACCTTAAATAAAACCCCCCATAGATTTCTTCACCAGTCGCCACACCAATCCTTCTCCTCAATCTCTCTCTCTCTCTGTGAAGAGTCTCTCTCGAAGCTCAAGAAACGGTATCAATGGCTGTCGAAGCTCGGCATATGAACATTTTCCCTCAGTTGATAATGAACAGGTAAATTCCCCCTCCCCCCCCCCTTCAATTCTTGTTTCTCGGGAAAGCTTTCCTCATCGGAATCATTCCTGTTTTTTTCAATCGCTTTCGGAAGCTTTCTGGGTTCCCCCTCTCTTCTGAATCTGTTTCGTCATTAGAACTGTTTCTTCGTCTTCCGCGTTATTTTTTGTCCGAGATATTGAATTTTCTCTGTTTGTTTCTTCATCTACAGAGAATGCGTTAAATCACAAGCCAATATGAACCATGCCCAGATGGAATTCGCCGGAGTTCCAGCGACGAACGTCGGCATGGGGACGTACGGACAGTCCCTCGCCGTTGATCCCGCCGTCATCGCGGCTGCGAAAGCCTGCTTCAACAAATCAGACAGTGGTGTCACGTACAACGTTAATCCCTCTCCCGTTCCGAGAAAACGCTCCCGAGATTCTGCGTTCTGCGACTCTGACGCTCTCCTCGCGGCTCAGAACCGCAGGCCCTCCGCGTTCGGGTCGCTGATCGACCAAGAACTTGCGTCTCAGATCCAACAACAGCAATCGGAGATCGACCGGTTCGTGGTTCAGAGTCATGATATCACATTATCATACCATATATGTGCATGTGCATCTATGTGCATATAGATGCTTGACCGTAGGATTTTGGCCTTTCTCAATCAAAACACAATTGATATTAATTTGCATTAATATGCTATATAAATTAGTTTAACGAGTAAGACTAATTTTATAATCATTTTATTCTTGTAAATCTGTTTGTCAATGAAATTATAATATTTTTTTAGTGTTTAACAATGGATATACGTACGTGTGGTCTTTCTTGCGACCCCGTCCATTGAACATGGGTTATATAATAAGGTTCATTTATTCATGAATATTTACATTAGGCAGATACATACATACATACATGCATGTGTGTGTATATTAAGCGATTCGAGTTCTCGAATTTATAAATGGTCAAAGGTGTTATTATATTTATAAATGGCAATCGATCGTGAATCCTACGATTTTTAAAAGAAGGCAGCAAACCTCCAATTATTTTGTTCAGCAGACGGAGAAGCTGAGGATGGAGCTTGAAGAACGTCAGCGGGCACAAACGCGGATACTGGCGTCGGCGATTCAGAACGCCGTAGCCAAGAAGCTCAAGGAGAAAGACGAAGAGATCGTGCGGATGGGGAAACTCAACTGGGTCCTACAAGAGCGCGCGAAGAGCCTCTACGTCGAGAACCAGATCTGGCGAGACCTGGCTCAGACCAACGAAGCCACCGCCAACACCCTTCGAGCCAACCTGGAACAGGTCCTCGCTCAGGTCGACGGCGCCGCAGTCGAAGACCACCGTCCGTCCGCCGCAGCAGCCGTAGAAGAGGACGCGGAGTCCAGCTGCGGGAGCTGCGGCGAAGATGATGAAGGCGGGAGGAAGGCGGAGGTGCGGGGAGGGTGCAGGCGGTGCGGGGAGAGGGAAGCGAGCGTGTTGGTATTGCCGTGTCGGCATCTGTGTCTGTGTACGGTCTGTGGTTCAGCTCTGCTACGTGCATGTCCCGTCTGCGATACGGTCATGAACGCTAGTGTACATGTTAACATGTCTTGACCACCTTCCCTTTTTCCCCCCAAATTTTTTTGTTTTTTTTTTTATTTTTTCTCGTCAGGGAAAAAGGATAATAGAAATGTGATTTTTTTTTTTACATTTTGAGAAAATAGAAATATCATTGATTCCCTTTGTTTGTAAAGTAGTTTATTTTGTAAAGAGGGTTTTAATTTTATTGACTTTGCCCTTATATCTTATTATGGAACCTAAGGCATTGGCAAACCATAAAAATCTGATTTTACACATGTTTAAATTTTGAAAACCAACCATTTATACAATTCAGGATTCATGATATTATATATATCGCTGTATTATATTTTAGAAAAATTCGGTGGAAGTTGCGAAAGGCAACAAAATTGAGAAAAGGAAAGAGGCATGGAAGAATGTGCAAAGGAAACATGTGACGTGCTTCGGCGGCCTTTCGCATCTTTTTTTTTTAATGGTTGGTCTCTGGTCCCTCACTTTCCCCCTTTCGCACCTCTCCTTTGTATTTATTGCAAAGCAACTTCTTAAAATATTTACATATATATATATATATATATATATGCACATACACCCTAACCTCAAAGATCTCACAATTCCAGACACCCAAATCTATGTTTAAATTAATGTACCTTAAAATATGCATAAAAAGCCGTATTTTTTATTTTAAAATTTATATTTTTATTAAGACAACATTTATTTGTTAATTTTTTATTTATATTTGATTCCAATTAATTTAATTTTAAAAAACTTTTAATCAAATTTATTTTTGATATAATTATGTATTATAAAAATCACCTCCGTATACACATCTTCGGCATAGATAAAAACATAGATCGTTCTGAAATCCAAAAGTTAAATGAGACATAAAGACTATTGTATGAATTCAATTGCTTAAAAAAAAATTAGACAATTTCAATTAAGAGTCATTATAATTGTCGAGTAATAAATTTGAAATTCAGGTCATATCATGATCATGTGCGGGTGTGGACAAAAAACATAAATATGCATGTTTGATTCACAACCATTTCTCTTTTTCCAATATATATATATATATATATATGTTAATTTTGTCCGATTCTCTAATTTCGAGTGGGGGACAAAAAAAAAACGGTGTGAAATTCACGACGTACGATGATTGAGTCCAAGAAACGTTACTCTGTCATTATACGAAAAATAAAATATTACAAAAATCTATTCATTAAAATTTAAAAAGGGAAATAATTGAATATGTGGGGATGGGTTGGCCAATTGGTACGTCCTTGGGTTCGTACAGAAGAAATAAATGTAGAATAGGACATGTGAATTTTGCTAATTCTTCCGTTCACCTAATCATTTATTTTGTTTCTCATAAAATTTATCTCCCTAATTGGAGATTATATATATATATATGTAATTAGTTTTTCATATATTTTAATTTTATTTAATTTGGGGTTTTAAAATATATTGAGATTTTTAACTTAAAAAGTTACAATGTATATAAAAGGGAGATTCACATATTAAATACTCAACTTTAACCAAATTTCCAAATTAAATACTTAACTATCTCACTTCCAAATTAAATACTCAACTATATTGAAATTCACAAATAAAAACTAAACTTTGCAAATTTTAACATATAACTAAAGGATAATCCAAAACAAAACCCTTTACTTTTTTTTCATCACAATTTAAACCCTATACTTTTTTTTATCCAAAAAAACCCTAAACTTTTCAAAATTTTAAAAATGATACACATTCATATACATATATTAATTATTATAAGCACAAAATCAATTACACATTTATTTTCCACAAAATTAATTATACATTTATTTTCCAAAAAATTAATTACACATTTATTTTCCACAAAATTAATTGTACATTTATTTTATATATTTATACGTATATATATGTTACACATTTATTTTCCACAAAATTAATTGTACATTTATTTTATATATTTATATGTATATATATGTTTTATATATATGCGTGATATATGTATTTTTTTCCTAAAAAATTATTATATATATAAAAAACTATTTATTATTTGTATATTGTTTTATATATAAAAAACTATTTTCCAAAAACATATTTATATGTATATATATGTTTTATATATGTATGGTATATGTATTTTTTTCCTAAATTTTTTATATATATAAGAAATTATTTATTATTTTTATATGAGTTAAATTGTCCAAAAAAACATGTTCTTGAAAAATAGTTTCTTATATATAAAACAATATACAAATAATAAATAGTTTCTTATATATATACTGATTTTTAGGAAAAAATACATATATCTTACATATATATAAAACATATATATACATATAAATATATAAAATAAATTTACAATTAATTTTGTGGAAAATAAATGTGTAATTAATTTTATGCTTATAATAATTAATATATGTATATGAATGTGTATCATTTTTTAAATTTTGAAAAGTTTAGGGTTTTTTTGGATAAAAAAAGTATAGGGTTTAAATTGTGATGAAAAAAAAGTAAAGGATTTTGTTTTGGATTATCATTTAGGTATATGTTAAAATTTGCAAACTTTAGTTTTTATTTGAGAATTTCAATATAGTTGAGTATTTAATTTGGAAGTGAGATAGTTAAGTAATTAATTTGGAAATTTGGTTAAAGTTCAGTATTTAATATGTGAATCTCCCTATATAAAATTCATTTGTTTGTAATTTATCAAGTTTTATTGAGATTTTTTGTTTTTACATCAGATTAGGCAAAATATTACAAACCTAACCTATATATTTAGATTGGGACAAGATTTGAAAGCCATCTTGATCTGCTCTTTGCCCATGTTTACGTCCTCCACCATGTCAGATAGCGCAATCGGTCCTTTATGAACACACGAATAAATTGGGCCTCAATGATCTAATTGGGCCGATTGAAATAAATTGGGCTTTTCTTTCAACCAAAAAATAACTAAATCTACCCAATCCATTCTGGGCTTTGGGCCCATCGAGTTTTATCAAAACCCATCTCATTATCTATCTAACCTTCCATCGCTTAGTTCACACACTAAATTTGTTTCTAGTCTCCTAAACATTTTTTTTACAAAAAAAGGCGAAGAATAATAATAGGAAATATCAATTTTTTTTGGTGTAAAATTTTTACATATTTTAGCATCAAAATTTATATTTTCTTATGTTTTGATATGTAAATTATTATTTCCTACTTAATTGAGTAAAACGTAGATGTTTTGATTTAAATTAATTTATTGTTTATCTACTACCATATAATTTTGATCACCACACCAAATCGTGGAGTCACAATCTGAATCGTATTTTTTGGTTTTACGTGTTTGAATTGATTATTCGCTTATTAAAACAAATAAATATTAAATATAGATAATAACATAAACAAAAAATCGAATTATATAATTATAAGCTAAAATAGCATACATAAACAATAACGTGTTACTCTCTTTTTTTTGCATCAGATTTAAATTAAATTATAGTTTCGATATTATAAATTAACAATTGGTTTAAATAATTATGCGTTATGATTAACCTTACACTCGATCATCCTTAATTAAAATCACTGTTATGATCTGTTGCTTATTCTAACATCAATAATAAGAGTACGTGTTTAATTTAGTGAATTAATTATGTATATAGAGTACCTGTTTAGTTACAAAGTTGGTTGGTCAAACTAATATTTTCTTTTACCCATTTGGTTGGTTGCTTGAATTGGTGTGCCTAATCCAAACTTAATTAATAATTTTAAAATAAAATCAATATTTAATCATAATCACCACAACAAACCTCATGATATTGGGAGAGTATAAGTTTTGTTTGATTAATTTAACAAAGCGATAACCACAGTAATAAATTAATCGCTAATTGGGTAATCAAGCTAATGATTGCTGTCTCCATTTTCAAACTTCCTCCTGCCACTGTCCCCTGACTGCAGAATTATATGTTTTTTATTTTCAATTTTATTTTAATTTATAACGTTTGTGATGAAAATAAACAAAATAAAATATAATAATTACTGGGTGTTTAAAAAGTAAAAAAAAAAACAGCTTTTTTCTTGTTGCGAGGAGACAAAGTCCATGTGCCCCCTCCCCCCTTGATTTCTTAAGCCGAGGTTCATGCTTAATCCTCTTTCATTTATAGGGTTAATCTAATTATAATTTTGTTTATTATAGTTTGTGACATACGTTTTAGTTTATAAATATTTTATGTTTAATCGCTAATACCATGTTTGAATATTTTTTGTATTATTTTAATATCCAGTTTATTATTGGATAATATAATGATACAAAAATATACAAAATATATTTTTATTTAGATTTAAATTCAAACGTGTAGAGAGATTTTTATCTAGATTTCTCTTATTTTTTTTAGATGATATATACTTCAATTTTGGATTATAAATAAAATCGAATTTCTATTTTTGTATTTGTAAATTTAATTTGCAATTAGTAAAAGTAAAATATGTTATTGTTAGAGGGAATCTTTGGTAATTTACGAAATGTCAACACTTGAAACAGAGTACGAGAATGCCAGCGAAGAGAGCCACTGTTAAAAATTAAAAAGAAAATAAAATAAAAACCAAAAAAGTTAAAAACTTTTCTCTTACGCCATTCCAAGAGCAACCAGTAAACCGATTTATTCTTCTCCTGCTTTCCACATAATCAAACCCAAACATCAAAATCAAGAGAAAAAAGGAGCAATTTTTATTTTATTTTTACTGAGGGAAAGCAGAGATTTTGAAGATGCCAAGTTAGGGTTTTCTTAATAATATATTTTGGAGTTTAATCTCCCTCCATTTTTCACTGGTATGGAAGCTTCTTTCTGATTTTTTTTTTGGGGTATTTCATCGGCTGCTGCTTACAAGTGACCTTGTTCTTCGTCGATCTTGTTTTAGAATTTAATAATAAGTGAAATATGCTTTTTTTTTTCGGAAATCTCTTTTTTCTTCCCAGTTCTATGTAATAATTGAGGGTCTGGATGGTTTCGGTGGTTGGATGATTTGAGCTGTTCCTTTTGTTCTTTTCTCACATCTTCTTTGCAATTTTGCGAATGATTTTCCCGGATTTGCTGTGATCTGTTGATGGGTTTGGTTAAAGTTTGCTCTTTGATGATCTGGAACGTAAGTGGGTTGATTTCTTTTGGATTTTCTTCATTCTTTTTTTTGTCCCTGTTTGAATTTCGGGAAAATTTTGAAAATTTGTAGAATCGAAGCTTTGATGATCCTATGTTGGGGTAGCTTTTAGATGAGTTTCGCTTTATCACTTTTTTTTTATATTTGAATTTTCATATATATTTTTGCAGATCCGTTTGGCACCTTGGGTTGGTTTTTGACCTTTAAATAGTGATAAAGGGAAGAAACTCTCGAGCTTTTGTAGCTTTCTGAGAAATTTTCGTGTAAAGAAGATATAGAAACATGGAGAATCAGGTCTCTTCCTTCGATGCGTTACCATTGAATCCCATCGGAGAATCGAGGCTAGAGCTAGATGAGGAAGACTTCAGAAGCTGTTGTGGAGATGAAGAGGTATGGTTGAAGGAGAGTGATGATATGGTTAAGGTTGCAGAGGAGAAAAAAGACGAACTTGATGAATTTTCAGCCAAGATGTTCTTCAAGGGCGTTTCCATGTCACAAGGGGGAGGAGATTCAGGTTCTGGATCTTCAGGGATAGGAGTTATCTTGGAGAGATCAGCTGATTTTGCGGAGATTAAGGTGCAGAAAAGATTGGATTTTTATGCAGAAGGGTCAGTGGCTGAGTACTTGGCCTTGATGGATGGTCTTGTAGTAGCTTTGCAGAATAATATTTGCCGTGTGTTCGCTGCTACTGACTCCGAGTTGCTTTATAATCAGGCAAGGCTCTTCTCTGTCCAATTGCTCTTCTTTGCTATGGCATTGTTGCTGATAGGTCTAGAAATGGGAGGAATTTGTGTATGAACTCGAGTTTCTTTACGTATAATCGCATTATCTTCCTTAGATGATGCTTTATCTTTGGGAAACTTCATTCTCTCATGGTTGAAAGCTGTCCGGTAATGAATTTCGACAGTCCTCTATTCAATTGTTTTGGCTTATCTTCTCACAGCAATGGCTAATAAACCCACATTTTCGTCCTTTTGGTTTTTTTATGCTCTTGCTGACAGATAATGCGTGAGGAGAAGCTCGAAAACCCGCTTTTGGTAGCTCTGAGGGAAAGAATACTCGAGCATACGAGCAATCTAGAGACTTTTGTTCTGAATCTTGTTCCTCCTTGTGATCTCGAGCAGTCTCTTAACCTGGCTCATGTGGCCATAGGAATGATTTCTTCCTCAGTTGATGGCAGCGATGAATCAGTAGAGAACTGCACTGTCTGCTGCGAGGACCGTCTATCCTTGATGATGATTACGTTTAAATGCACCCACAGATTCTGTTCACTTTGCATGAAAACATACGTCGACGGGAAAGTACAGTCCTCTCAAGTCCCCATCAGGTGCCCTCAGCCTCGTTGCAAATACTATGTCTCCACTGCAGAATGCAAAACATTCCTCCCCGTGTCTTCCTATGAATTGTTCTCAAAAGCCTTGGAGGAAGCAAATGTGAGGATGAACGACAAGATTTACTGCCCGTATCCAAACTGTTCTGTTCTGATTGACCCGCATGAATGTTTGTCCGGGAGGGCGAGTTCCTCTAGTCAGTCTGAGGGTAATTGTATCGAGTGCCCAGCTTGCGAGAGGTTTGTCTGCGTGGAATGTGGTGTTCCTTGGCATTCTTCCATGAGTTGCGTCGAGTTCCAGAATCTCCCAGTGGAGGAAAGGGATGCTGCCGATATTACGTTGCATCGCCTTGCTCTGAATAAGAGGTGGAGGCGGTGCCAGCAATGTCGTAGAATGATCGAGCTCATTCAAGGGTGCTACCACATGACGTGCTGGTGAGTCGGAAAACACCTTATTCTAGCCATTTACAATATTATTAGCGTATTTATACGTGAATTCAGCTTGCAATAGACTGAAAATCCTGTGTCTATACATATTGAAACACGAAAAATACTAGCTTCCATGTGGATTAAACACCGCTTCACGTTGTGCAACAAGAACACAACTTCAAACTAGTTCTTTTGCAGGGTTTGTTTTTGGGATGACGTTGGAATTCTTGTCTATGTATGTTCAGGTGCGGACATGAGTTCTGCTACTCATGCGGAGCAGAGTACAGGAACGGGCAACAGGCGTGCCATTGCGCCTTCTGGGAAGAAGATCAAGTGAACTCTGACGAGGAATCCTCGGCCGAAAACTCCGTCCATGAAACCGAGCAATGGCCGTGGGACACTTTTAGCTCATTCCCCATTGTCATGGATGCGTACACTGAGCAGGAACACTCTCAGCTCGCCCTAATCCAGCGTTTCTTGGCCGGGGGGTTCAGCCTCAGTGACCACCACACGTACCAGTCGCCGCCCCGTTGTACGGAGTCATCATACGTAGAAGCCGCCATGAAAGACCTCCATCAGCTTCCATGGCTCGAGAGGTTCGTGTCTGTCATAAGCGATGACTACTACGAGGAGTACAACCAGTGAGGCTGGATGCTGCCTAGGGGTAAAAGGGTCATTTCCGGCTTCCCGGATCAAGGGTGACGGCGTTGCAAGAGTTCCTCGCTCTTAGACGGCTCCGGTCACCGGATTCCGGCGAAAGAATTTGTGGTTTATAGATTCTTGATGCTCTCAGAACCCAACCAGTGAGGGAACTGTTTGGAAAAGCAAAGAAAGTCTGATCATTTACATGTTTTTTTATATATATATATATATTCTTCATGCGAAATGATTAATGTTCCTAAGAATTTATATGGAATAAAGAATATTTGGTTTATTTTCATTTGGATATGATATTTGATTTACGTAATGATTGTTTTATGTAAATCTGGCTTTATAAAGTGATACAATAATCAGTACACTCATCTTGAGGTGTCTTGAAAGTTTTCCAAAATAAATAAACGAATATTAATTAATCAGAGGGTTATATACGGACCAAATATCATATTATATGATAAAAAGGAACTAGGTCCTGCAAAACTCTTTTTTTTTTATATATAAAATAATAAAAGCTCCATTATCCACAGTTACATAATATTTATAATGTTTTTATATCAAAGGAAACTTTACATATTGTATAATATATGGTCTGCGTAGCTTCGCAGCAGCAGAAGCGTTCTTTCCGTCACGCCGACACGGACGCATTGTATTTCAACATAATAAAATAAAATACACACCATTTAAAAAAACATTTTATAATATATTCCATAAGATGTTTGAAAATGTCTCCTCCGAAATATCCGGAATATATTTGTCAAAAAAGGCTGCATTATTTTGTTTCCATGCTATATGATAAGATTCATGTATGGCTGAGCATCTTAATTGACCAACCTATATAATTTATAAGCTAAAAACCCAGAATTACAAAATATTGCATGTAACAAAAAAATCAGTAAGAGTGTAATAATCAATTGACGTATATACACGCGTGATGAATCTAATGATTATAATCATTTGAGATTTAAAAAAAATCCAAATTCATGACTTATTTGGTCTTTAGTCATATATGACACATTATTATTATTATTATTATTATTATTATTATTATTATTATTATTATTATTATTTTTGATAACGGATGATCCCTACCTGCTATCTTTCGGACTCACTGATCAGGTAAACCTCTGATCCGAAAACAGTTTTTATATATGGATAATATAAATCCATAAATTACTTCACTCCCACCATCCAGAAATCGAACACTCAATCCCAAGGTGAATTAACTCCTATCTCACCACTCGCTCACGATTTGTTGGGTTATATTTTTACATATGGTCAATCTTTTTTTAATGAAACAATGAAGTAGACCAACAAATTTTAAAATAGTTAATAAAAATGAAATTTTATAAAATAGATGAATCAGTTTGGTCATCAAAATACAATTTTTTAAGAAATCGAGCCGCTACAGTTTCCGAAGACGGACGCAATTTGCCACGTCATCGGAGCACTTCCATAAGGATTCCGCAATTGCTTACATCGTTGCTTACATCACGCTTTGCCGTGACGCCCATTCCTTGTTTTTTCTTGCTTCATAACACATTTGCAAATAATTTTCAAGTTTTTTTTGGGAAAAGTAATAATAATTTTCATCGCGACCCATTTGATTAATAATATAATCTTCTATGTTATGTCATGTATGTATGTGATATGTATTAATAGCTCTTATATGGAATGATAATGTAGTAAAACAATTTGAATAACATGTTTAAATTTATTCAAAATTATTAGTTAAGTCAAACAATTTTTTTTTCCTATAAGGAAAATTAATTCGAGTTATTTCATGGAAAAAGTTGGGCCGCTAACATTGGGTTTCAACAAATAATGTTATTTCATGGAAAAAGGTGGTCCTCCATAAACTGTTTTATTTTCTTCTTGTTGGAAAAATCACGAAGAAAATCATGACACGGATGGATGATCATGGTCTTTCTCTATCATGGGTTAGTCTTTCTTTATATCATATACCATATAGTTTTTTTTCTTTAATCTTGATAAATAAATCCATTTTGTTAATTTGACTCTTTGATTTACCTAATATGATTAATCCCCCACATTGAGAAATATAAAAAATTATGCGGTATTTTCACATGGCATGAACCTGCTGTCTCTTTCTCTCTCTCACCACGAGTTCGGGCTGAGGCTCATATATCCCAGTATCTGGATACCCTTTCTTCTTCTTCATCTGCTCCTCCTCCTCCTCCGTTTGTTGGTTCCTTCGACGAATTAATCTTATAGCTTCGTCCCTATTTTGCCATTTTCCATCAACCCTTGCCCCATGTCCTCTGCCCCTTTCTTTCTGTCTGATTTTTTCGACTAAATTTGGGTTAGATTCCTTTCGTCCTGTAGCTTTCCGCAATTTCGACGAAACCCTTTTTTTGTTCAATTCCTTTTCTGGGTTTAAAGGATCTTCCAGGGGGTTTTTCTCGTTCGTTTCGATTTCTGAAGTTCTCTCCAGGTATTATCTTTTCTGTTTCCACTTTTTTTGTACATTGATACGGTGGACCTGTAAACCGGACAATCGGATGCACCTCCCGCTGAAGCAAGCAAGAAGTGGGGTGTTGTGTTGGAAAAATGGAACCTTGTTCATGGGGTTAAGTGCGTGTCTTTGATCTTGTCTGTGTAGCTCCGTAGTTCGTACTTAGTCATACGATTTTATGTATCTGATGCTGGGTTTTGTGGAACATGTTGTGACGTTTTCTCAGATTAGGGCTTTGCCAAATCCCTTATCAATCTGAAATGGGTATCTGGTGTTATTAGTGCGATCTCCCCATTGAAATATTTGGATAGAAAACCGAACGGGAGAGATCATGGTTGTACTTGGAATCTTGATTTCTGTGGATCAAAGGTAGAGCCTTTGAGTGATATTCTGAATATGGCCGCTTCAACTGAGCCATCATCGTCTCTAAGTATCACCTCTTCTCACTTATCCAATGGCTCTGTTGGCACCAATCAGTCATCTCTATTCCATAGCAGCTCGGCTACCAATCTTGAGGTCGTTGCTCTAAGCAAACTTAGCTCCAATTTGGAGCAGCTGCTCTTCGAATTAGACTCTGATTATAGCGATGCTGAAATCTTCATCGATGGTGTTTCTGTGGGTGTCCACAGATGTATTTTGGCTGCCAGAAGCAAGTTTTTCGTTGAGTTGTTTAAGAAAGAAAACAATGGGGCAACTGGGAAATCCAAGTATCATATGAAAGATTTGTTGCCTTATGGAAAAGTGGGACATGAGGCGTTTTTGCATTTCTTGAACTATATCTACACTGGAAGGTTGAAGCCTTTTCCTATGGAGGTGTCCACTTGTGTCGACACAGTTTGTGCCCATGACTCCTGCAAGCCTGCCATTGACTTTGCTGTTGAACTGATGTATGCTTCCTCTGTGTTTCAACTCCCGGAGCTGGTTTCGTCTTTTCAGGTTTGGAAACTGCTCTCTCGGTGGTGCATGTTTGTTCTTGATTCATGACGCTTACCTGTCATGGTCTGTGTTTTTTTTTTTTGCAGCGGAGACTTTGTAACTTTGTGGAGAAGTCTCTCGTGGAGAACGTCCTTCCTATCCTCTTGGTTGCTTTCCATTGTAAATTGACTCAGCTTCTTGACCAGTGTGTTGAGAGAGTGGCAAGATCGGATCTTGACAGGTTCTGCATTGAGAAGGAGCTTCCTTTGGAAGTGTCGGAAAAGATTAAACAGCTTCAGGGTAGGTCTCCACAGGACGAGGACAGTACTTCAGATGTGTCAGAAAAATGGCAAAAGAGTATCGGGACAATACACAAAGCACTTGACTCAGATGATGTTGAGCTCGTAAAACTTTTGTTGACCGAGTCAAATGTAACTCTTGACCAAGCCAATGCTTTGCATTATGCGGTGGCATACTGTGACTCGAAAGTTGTGGCCGGAATTCTCTCTCTAGATATGGCTGATGTGAACTTCAGGAATTATCGGGGTTATACGGTTCTGCATTTTGCTGCAATGCGTAAGGAGCCATCGATCATAATTTCCCTTTTGAAAAAAGGTGCCTTTGCATCAGACTTGACATTCGATGGACGAAGTGCAGTTAATATATGTAGGAGGCTGACAAGGCCTAAAGATTACCATACCAAAATGGAGAAGGGGCAGGAATCTAATAAAGGCCGCATATGCATAGATATCTTGGAGAGAGAAATTAGGAGGAACCCGCTGGCTGGGGATACACCGACGTGTTCCCATTCTATGCCCGAGGATCTTCAAATGAGGCTGTTATACCTTGAAAAACGAGGTATTAACACATATATATGTCATTTTGTGGCAACCGATTCTCATTTTCTTCAATCGTAGTTACTTGTGGCTGTAGCTTAATGACTACTCTATGTTTTCGGTGTATTGCAGTGGGGCTTGCTCTGTCATTCTTCCCAACAGAAGCCAAAGTGGCTATGGACATCGCCAATGTTGAGGAAACGCTTGAATTCACGGGTCTTCCACCGCCATCAAAAGGTTCAACTGGGAATCTAACACAGGTTGACTTGAATGAAACACCTCATATGCAAACAAAAAGACTCCGTGCCCGGATGGAAGCTCTCATGAAAACCGGTAATGCTCTTCTATCTCACCTATAATGGATGGACATGGTTAGTAGTAGCTGGCCCATGGTTTTCGGTTTGAAAAGTCCAATATATCTGTTCCGAGACTGCCTTCTGTCGTATTGTCATATGGATTGCCGAAAAGGGTCTGCTCAGAACTTGGTTAAGATATGGATCTAGCATGCTTGTTGTGTAGAACCATATAAAACAGTAACAGATGACTAATGTGGGTTGATAATACTGCAGTTGAGACGGGATGGAGGTATTTTCCGCATTGCTCGGAGGTTCTGGACAAGTATATGGATGAGTGCATGGACGAGGACATGTCAGATGTGCTACACCTCGAAAGAGGCTCTCTTCAGGAGAGGAGATTGAAGAGGATGAGGTACAAGGAGCTGAAGGAAGATGTCCAAAAGGCATACAACAAAGACAAGGAGGCCGAGGTTGCCCGCTCTTGCCTCTCTGCCTCATCTTCTGCTTCTTCTTTAAGAGACGATGCCCTCAAGAACACCACGTGAAAAAAAAAAAAAAGTTGAAGCCTTAAAGAAAAAAAGTGATGTCTATATTTTCCTTCTTCTCGCCTGTTTGAAAGGCAACAGAAGAGAGTGAAAGACCCACTTGTGGTAAATCAGGAATTATAGAGATACTTAGGATGTATCAGGGAATGTGTATTAGTGGAATGGAGACCTGCCTGCTTAATATTGATGTCCATAAATTATTTGATACTTGAATACCGTCCCGTTATATCATAAAATTGAATACGATTTTTTAGGGAAAAAATCGTAATTAATAAAATATTAAATGGATTAAAGATGATGAAGTAAATACCTTTTTTATTATGAATATTAGTATCTTGTTATAAAGGTTGAATAGTGTTCCAATAGCGCAGCATGACCTTGGATGCAAACTATTCACTTTCATCTTTTCCTAGGCTTGATTCGGGTTTTACATGTAATTCTGCATACGTGTCCTTGAAAATCACGTGGATAACGAGCATTTTAATATTGCCATCCGTTTTGTTGAAAAACATGGAATAATTAATAATAATAACTACAATATATATAGAAACATGTTAAATGTTTAACAAGATAAAAAAATTCCCAAACTGACAAAAATATTCAAACTTGAAATAATTGATGGCGTTATTTTAATTAATTTACGATAATGTACATACGCATTTGTGATTCACTCTAATCTTAACTACAAAAATTTACAATAGTATCTTTATATCTCATTTATTCAACCAACCGAGTGACAGGAAACAAATAACCGAAAATTTAAAAAAAAAAGGAAACAAGGAGGCCAAATTCTACATTTCTACACAATCAAATTCGCGTGTGTTTATAGAAAATTCTGATAAATTTTTTTTTTTTGATAATATGTGATTTGCCAGTGGGGTTCGAATGCCAGTTTTGATACTGTAGGATATATATCCACGATCTCTAATATCAAACTCTACAAAATCTTGTTATACACACGTACATATACATGTTTTGTGTACACGATTTTGGCGAATCGTCCACGTGTTAAACTACCATGAACGGAATTAAAAAAAAAAATCACTTATATAAATCAATTTCAGACATTTCTTGAAGCTCCTAAAAAAAACTTCCTCTGCTAAGAAAGACATTAAAACTGTTTATTAGTTAAATCTGGATTGATGATCTTACTGATTTGTCAGTTTTCAATTTTCCCTGTCGTTGCCTTCCTTCTTGCCCACTGATCCCTCTCCGCTGACAAGTGTTACCCTCTTTTCATCTTCTTCTCGCTCTCTGTGTTTTTGGGCGTTCTTTCTTAAGCGTACAAATCAAAGTTTACTTCTTTGCTTATTCATGGAAGTTTGGGCCTAAATCTAGTTAGGTGTTCTTGTTAATATCGAATTAGGGCTGATTTCTGAATCTTTCTTGAAAAAGACCCTGCTTAACTTTTTTCCTGACCTTTTTTCCCCTCTCTGTAACCTCCATCATATAATCGTATTTTCTGCGGTTTTTCCTCTTCCG